AATTTATCTGCACACTTTTTATTTCCACATTTATTTATTTATGTATTTCTGTGTCCATATGTAAATATTTGAATTAGTTCCTTTAGAACACAAAATGTTATTATTGAACTTGTAACTACATCATCAGCAATGGACAGGATCTGAGGTGTGTCTTGTCTATTCCTGTGCAGATCCGAGTGGCTCTCCAGTGTGTGACCAGTGCCTTCCCAGGTACAGCGGCCCACAGTGTGACAAGTGCAGCACCGGCTTCTACAAAACATCCGGGTCTTGTGTTCAGTGTGACTGCAGTGGGAATGCAGATCCTCGAGGCCACGCCCAGCTCTGTGACCCTGATACTGGCCACTGCCTCAGCTGCATCAACAACACCACCGGGATCCAGTGCCAGCTCTGTGCGCCTGGATTCATCGGGGACGCCCGAGCGCATAACTGCACCCGCCCAGGTATAGACTGAATCACATTATACTGTAGAAACAAGTAGGGCAGGACGATATCAAAAACAATCTTATCATGATTTTTTTTTCCATATCAGTCATTATCAATATATCGCAATATAAATCAAATATCCAGAAAACAACTTTTTTGCACATTTGTGTTTATGTACAGTGTTCTAATCACTCACACGTAGAACTGTTGTAACAACCTGCTGAATTCATATTTATGTTCCTGGATAAACGGGGGGTCACTTCTTCTGCAACAAAGAAGTTAAAACACTGTGTAAGCTGCGGGAGAAAACTCTGTCTGTCCCTCCTCATACACAAACTGATAATCATGTGAGATACTCACCATCTAGTCGTATATACTAAAATAGTAAATAATCTCTCTGACACAGGACAACCAGACCTTTAATGAGAGTCTGTCCTGGAGCAGCAGTGTTATAATTATTCAGTGGTGGAAACCCACTAGAACAATGAATATAGCTGATAATATGATAATGTTCAGTCACTGCATCTTTGCAGAGTTGTCTTCCTCTCTACAGGAGCCCAAACATGTTTGCTTCTCCTCCTACACTCTCTGCTGTGTGCGTCAACCTAACTTGATGTGGGTGTTACTCTATTCCAGCCTCATGATTGGTTTGGCACGGCGCTTTGCTCATTGTCATTGGCTTTTCATGTTGTTTGTCAAAACATGGATGAGATGAGTTCTATTGAAGTTATATCGACATGTCTTCAATTTCTTTCGAGGAAAAGTTACCTTGCGTTAACTATCGCTATCATTTTATCGGCCAGCCCTAACCACAAGCAATGTAATCAGAGCACTATATTTTAATCAAGTTGACAGGTACAGAGGACAAACTCCTCACCGTGACGATGCTGAACTCAACCTCCTCATTGATGTCCTCAGTGGTGAACTCCACATCACTAAAGTTTTCTTTGATGTCGAATGGAAGCTCACTGTGTTCGTCAGACTTGATGATGCCTTTGTTATCTTTCAGGCTGATGATGACGCCCTGAAACACATGGGATTAAAATAAACGAGTGACAGTGTGTGTGTGTGTTGGTCAGTAACAGTTCGGGATCAGCCACGGAAGACGACATCGCCAGCTCTGACCTTCTCCCTGGTCTCGTTGGTGTGGCTAAAGGTGGCAGGAATTTTGGGTTTGATGTTGGTAGCTCGCCGTTTCTCCGTCACAATGTCCATCAGCAGGTTGATGAGCACCTGGTCGTTCTTCAGCAGCGTCACCATGCTGTCCTTCCTGTCAAAAGTCAGGTTGGTCCTCAGAGGTCCAATGTTCACATGAACCTGACCTGGGTACTGACGCTCGCCGGGCTACAAACACACAAACAACGGCATCAGCCACAGGAAGTGAAAGACGGCAAGGACAAAGAAAAAAAATGTACCTGAGGCTCCACGATTGGCTGAGTGACGACGGCCTCGTAGATCTCTGGGTCCACGTTCTCCGTCCCACCTGGCGCCACTTTAACGTCCGTTGCTATCAGACTGTTCTGCACAGCCAAACAACACAACGTTACAAATACAATAACACAACACACAGCATTGTTGCAGACACAAAAAGACTCCTTCATTTTAAGAACATGTGTGAAAACAGTTGACATGTGCGACATTCTGCTCCTGAGTTATAGAGATGGTCAAAGTGACCTTTGATCTCTGACACACAGTGACCTCAGGCATGCACACACACACACTGTGACTTCACAGCAAGCACTCACCTTTTCCTTACAGCCAGTGAAGTGAACTCTGACCCCAGGCGTCATGGCTTTGGGGTTTCCAAAGAAAGCTTCGAAGCTGAAGGTGAACTTCTCAAGATCTTCTCTCTCGATGTAACCGAATGTCGGCTAAGAACCAAGATTAACAGATCAAGTGATGAGGTCATCGATCCAGTAGAAGAGAAAAGACTTCTGATAATCAATAACAGTGAATGAGGCTCAGGTGACATTGTGTAAGATTCTGATTCTGATTCAGACTTAACACACCCCGTTACATCCACACTTACACACCTGAAATCACACAACCTTTAATATACACTGGTCATGTGATGTAAACAGGAAGTAGATCGTCTCTGCAGTTGGTTGCTTAGCAACAGAAACTCCTCTGAAGGAGCAGTGATGGTGAAAGTCAGAGCAGGAATTTATTTTCTCTGAGCGACGACGAGGTGGAACTGTTACTGACAGGAAGTGTTAGCGATGCTTTGTGTTCACTGCTGGTAGTCAAGTCATGTGACTGATAAGAACCAATCAGGAAGAGAATGTGGGCGTGTCATCGTTTACTAAAGTCTCAGTTTGTGTTCAGACTAAAACACAAAACCAGAGTTTTCTAAACTAAAACGAGAGCAGCAATGTTTACACAAGTGATTCTTACCCCGATGAAGGAGATGATCCCTGTAGACCTGCCAGGAGGAGGCCTGAGGGGACACACACACACACACACACACACACACACACACACACACACACACAC